GTGTGATTTAACGCCATTAGATCTCTTTTTATGGGGTTATTTAAAATCACAGGGCTATTGCAACAAGCCCACAACCACGCGTGCTTTAAAAGAGCAGATTCAACGTTGCATCAATGAAATTCAGCCACATTTATGCGAAATAATCATGAAAAACTTCGACAAACGAATGCGTATGTGTATGGTAAGCCATCTAGGCCATTTGCCCGATATGTTATGCCTTGAATAACTCTGTTCTATATTCTTTATGATTCAATAAAAAAAAAATTACAATCGCAAGACTAAAAACTGTGTTTTCTATTTAATTCCAATCTGGCGTTAATTTTGGGGCACCCTTTTCGATTCGCCATATCCGCCTATCGGTCTCTTTATATGCGAACACATCTAATTTTGAAGATATCGATCTGAAATTTAGCACCCGTCTTTTTCTTACCAAGAAGCTACTCATTTGTCGGAATGACCGATATTGGATCACTATAGCATAATATACAACTGCCTTAAAAACTGAGTGATAGTATGGTAAGCTTTTTCATTTGACGAGATATTTTCACTAAATTTGGTATGGCTTATTGTCCAAGGCAACGGTGCAATCTCCGAAGAAATTGTTCTGAACGATTAGCTATAGCGTGTAGCTGCCATACAAACTGACCGTTGAAAATGAAGTTCTTGTATGGAAATTTCTTTTGTGATGGGTATTATAGCTTCCGTGTAACCGAAGTAAGCATTTCTTCTTAATTTTAATATTTTTTCTTACATTTATCCTTAAGTAATGAAGAATGCACAAGAAGTAGTATATACATATGTTGTGTTTGTATTAAGGAAATTGATTGTGATTACATAGTGCTTAACATTTACTATTAGTATTTATAATTACTCCTCAATTTTGCTGTATGTTAATAGGACAGTTTCTAATAAAAACCCGTTATAATTAATTCTTAAGCTTGAATATAGAAAACACGTTAACTTCGGTTGCACCGAAGCTATAATACACTTCATATACAATATACAAAATATTTCTTACAAAAACTTGATTCCGATCTATTAGTTCGTATGACAGCTATATGCTAAAGTGATTCGATCTGAACAATTTTTTCGGAGATTGCATTATTGCTATAATAACTCATGCCAATTCAAATGAAACATTTTCAATACAAGCACTTGATGTCGATCATTCAGTTTCAAAGTTGATGACGAAACAAAGATTTTTTTCAGTTCAGAAACGTATTCGGAGATTTCAAATTGCCTGGAGAGGATTGACTGTTGTGCACTTTTTACTTGTTTAAGACCATGTCTCGGGCACGAGGTAAACCAACGACGCACTCAACTCTATCAGTTCTGCGGTCACCAACAACTGTTTCTACAAAAAAAGGATATATAAATACTTTGTGATGGGAGTTGTATTGAGAATTCGTTGTTATACAAATTCCTTAATTTAATTTATAATTTTACTAGGTCAGACATTCCCAAACTCTCGGTCTCAAATTTTCAGCCCAATATTCACCAAACATTTTAAACAAAATTTCTATTAATCTTCAACTTTATTTCTATCGCAAAAGGACTGACATTTTATATAATATGTTTTGACTCACATTCTCATCCACAAAAACTGGTATATACGAGAGTATCTGCCGCTTCTATACCATGTCCTTGTTACACTCAAGTGCTCACATTCAAAATATGCAACTTATTCTTTAATTTTCTCTATGTTTATTACCGAAATGAGAGTATGAGCTGTTACGCTTTATACGCGGCAACATTTCAAGCATAAAAAAGAATTTGCATAATTTCCCAAAGCGTGAAACCGAAAGAATGTCGCATACATTTATTTCGTCGGTTTCGTAATTTGCAGGACTTTTCGCATTTGTTTTTTTTTGCTTTTGGTATTATGGAAAATAATGCTAAAAGAGAAACCAAGCAAACTAAAAACAAAATTTAATAATAATGGCAACAACAAAACCGCAAAATGAAAATGCTAACGCGTATGACCGAAGCGATTTGAACGCTACTATCGGTAATAAAGCGACACTTTTTTGACATTTTCTAACAAAACCCCAAAACAAAGGGAAGAGAAACATGCTTTTTTTTAATATGGCAATGCCCTAATTCTGTTGTTGCTTATTTTTTATATCTCACACTTGATATCATAATCTTGCTGAATTTTGTTTTGTTGGTTGTTATTGTTGTTGTTGTAGTGCTTTAGAATACGTTATCCGGTGTATTTATGAGCATTACGCGCACCGTTGTCCCTTTATTATCGCACCACTGCACTCACCCATACACACACACACACGCTCAGATCCAGAGTACCCCACAGTCGCTTTTGATGGATGGCAACATCGCTTTTATGGTCGCTAATATTAACATATTACAGCATGTGCCACCGTGTGGCAGAGAGTGGACAAATGGCGGTCGCTCGGCTGACTCCTTGTGCTCTCGGCTATTTTAGCCGCTAAATAAATATAAAAAGTTTTTTAATTGTAGGCACAAATTATGCAGGCATAATAGACGGTGTGGTTACGGCAAATACCGTTATGCTCGTACAAAAGGGATTTGCGACACAGCTGAAGGGTTTACGTAAGCGTTATCATGTACACTCGGACAACGAACAATGGCCGAAGTATGGTAAAGTATGAAAAAGCGGAAATAATTACAAAGCCATAAAATGTGTGTGAAAAATATAGGAATTCATATGTTTGTATATTAGGGTGGTACTCGAAAAATCAATTTTTTTTTCAATCTAACCACGTTCATTAGTGCAAGGTTCAAATCGAAGTACCATAAATGCATCTATGGTGTTTGATGTCGTTTCTCGTCATATTTTATAGGTTATATCTTTATGGATGTGTCAATATCTCAACCTATTGTAGAGCTGCAATCATTGTGTTGCGATTAGAAGTCTGTAGTACTCCTCCGTGGAACCTAGGTTCACATGTTTCAGCAAATATAAAGAATCCAATACTTTTCAAGACTCAGTGGTAAACCTCAGATGTCAATTCCATAAAAATTGCTCCTAATAAAAACCATTAGTTTTACAAATACAGCTTTAACATCTACGATTCACTTTTAGTCAGATAACATCAATTTGTTTACCATAAACCATGATACTAATAGAAAAAAGAAGTCAACTACAATTATTATAAATATTTAAATATATATATGAATGTTTGGGGCTTCAGTACAAACTTATTCTATGGGTACTAAAATGCCAGCTACAAATTATACCACAAAAGCAACATTTTATTCGACAAACTCTTCTTTAGATAATCGTCACCCACTTTCGCATTTCTGCAGAGTGGCGGTCCGTATTACTCGTCTTAAGACATACAATGTACGTTCCAAAGTAAACAGTAACAAAGTAAACTCTATTGGCGCCATCTATATATCGACTAGTGCGTTAGAATCTGCTATCCTTTATCGACTTCCCGTAAAAATTTCATGACATTTCATCTATTGGAAGTGAAGTTATTGCGTTTTAAGTGTCAGTATGTTTTTGTCATCGGTGCGAAAATGAGCTTCGAACAAAGAGCCAACATTAAATTTTGTAAAAACTTTACCGAAACGTTTCAATTGATGAAACAAGTTTATGGCGATGATTGCCTATCTCGTAGCAAGGTGCACAAGTGGTTTCAACGTTTTCAAAGTGGTCGTAAGGACATAAATGAAACCCAAAAAATCGCGCCTGGAGAAGTCAAAAGTGAAGACAATGCTGATTTGTTTTTATGATTCCAAGGGTATTGTCCACAAACAATTTGTTCCACCCGGCCAAAACGTTAATGCGGTATTCTTGGAGCGCCATATTCGACGTGTTCGGCCCGAATATCGCGAAAATGGAAGTTGGCGTTTCTTGCACGATAATGCGCCGTCTCATCGATCGACGCTTGTGGCCGATTATTCGACCAAAAATCACATTTTAACAATCAACCACTCCCCGTATTCACCTGATATGGCACCGTGCGACTTCTAGCTTTTCGGAAAAATGCATTTGCCGATGAAAGCAAAGCGTTATGCAGACGTGGAGGCCATTCAAAAGGCTTGCACCGGCATACTGGCGGCCATACCGGGGAACGAACTAAAACACTCGTTCGAAATGCTTTTGGACCGTGCAAAAAGCTGTATTAAAGCAGAAGGAGACTATTTTGAATAAAATTAATTGATTTTGCCGATAAAACCTTTGTTCTGTCTTTTTTTTTAAAGTCCTGTTTACTTTGGACCGCACCTTGTATAGAAAGCTACATCGCATCCGGCAGAGTTAAGAAAGTTATCGGAAAATCTTGTGTCAGTTTATAACATTTGCCGTATATATATTTATTCAAAAGGCTTGGAAGACTTCGATTCAAGTTTGGTGGAGTGGTAAAATCACTTATACACTAACTGATTTTAAACCCATAGCATTCACTTCTTATTATCAACTAGAATATATTAAAAATATCCATTATTAAAGCATACTCTAATCAAAGATTTTTCTACACTAAAACCTACATATTCCTTAAATATTAAATAGAAAACGGTGACCAGAATCTTCTGTGGCAATAATATTAAAATAACTTTAACGACCGTTGACCAAGGTAATTTTCTGATATTAGACTTTGCTTTTTGTTGACAACCCTAATTTATACAATGAAGTTATATGAACAGTAATTGGAAAAAATAAATAAGTGGTAACTCTTACTGCACCCATACTAGATTTAATGTGTTGCAAGTCAAGCGCCGAAAGTCTATTAAAACTTTGCACAGAATTTAATAATTTTTCGTTTAATCGAGTATTCATCTTGAACTGGATTTAAGGAAGATACTTGAATAATAAAATATTTAGAAACCAAATATTAGCAGCAGTTATCTTACGAATAATACTTTGGAACGACATGATGTTGAAATGATAGAAAAAGCAGAAGTGAAAGCTTCACAACTTTGATGCGTTAGTTGAATTTATCTATTTAAAGCCACTTCTTAGAAATATCAAGAAGAATATGAATAGCTGTTTTAACATCAAGAATACAAAAGTATTTCATGTTTAATATTTATTTCGACCATTATGCACCACAGTGCCTAGGTCTGCAGTATATACAGTGGGACGACAAAGAGTTAGTTAAATATTTATTCATAAGATATATGTGAGACAACCACGCAAAAGTTTCGCTTATTTTCGATACATTTAAGCACCCTCTTCCTCAATGCTCGTTCGCATAAGTGTAAAAAATTGGTAAGATGTCGTACAGAGCTGTAAAAATATAGTATATATTATATGAAATATCCGCGCAAGCTTATTGTAATCTACACCATATATCTTACCGACTTAAAACTATCCATTGAGATCTCAAAGAATTTAAAAGCCGTCAAGTGGGCACAACGCTGAGCACGTGCTATGGGCAACACCAGCATGCGCATATACTTGTAATTCGCATCGTACCAGGGATGATTGTAGAACGCATCACTTATGCCAGTGCTCTTTGGTTCAGATGAAATATGATATGTTTTGAATATAAATTTCAAAGCAATAATTTTTTTTCAAATTACCAAATCTTTCAGATTATTGCCGAAATAGGAGACGAAGTAGACCTGCACTATAGTTGAAACAAGAAAACCGATAAATTTAATAACGCTCACAGCCTCTGAGCCCATTACTATTTGAAGACCGATGAAGCAAAGGACCAAACATGAGCTGACATAGTTGAGAAGTGTGGCCAAACCAAAAGTGTTATCGATTCGCTCCGCATAACTGAAAGAACATGCAAGAAAAACGATAACTAAACAACATATTGGAAGGTCTAGATATCAAATGGAGAAACTTTGTACTAAAATTTCTAAGTAAAATTAAATTCACCAGACTATGAATTCTTCGATTATTCTTCCGTGCGATTTTTGATACATTTTGAGTATATGAAAGAAAAAAGCCGGTTTGAAGCACTTTCTCAGATCGGATGACAATTGTGTAGTCAAAATGATAATATTCAAAGTTAGTAAAACGGTTAATATTTCAAGAATTGGGTGATTGAGCACATGTTGATGTAATAACTTTTTTGTATGACCGTTAACCTTATCTTCTCGAAGAAGAAATTGTACTTTGGCGATTCATTGTCCTTAACTTTATCTTCATTTTATTTCACATATAATGAATGAGGTAGCAAGGTTTTTGATAAATTGTTCTTAAGAAAACGTTGTGGGGAAAAAAGATCTATATTAAAGTTCTTTTCAGCCCAAGCACCGCTAAGAAACTTTAGATTCGTCGATAAACATCAAATATTCGAGAAAGAGTACCCAAACTGTTTTTTTTGACATTGAAACTTACTAATTTTTAATAACAAATAGTGGTTTTCTTTTCTCTGGTAGGATCAACCGAACAACAAGGAATTTACATACAACAACATCTCATCGTGATATTCCATTAAAGGTCCTAGCACTTTCATGTCAGCATCCGTACCGCTTGGTTGAAAACTCTCTATTTTATAGATTAAATATCCGAAATGCATGTTAACCAAGTGTACCATGGAGATGAGCAATAAATCGCCACTCAAAAATAGCAGTGACATATGGAATGCGCCACAGCATTGTAAGAAATATGAAACGGCATAAGCTAACGGTTGATTTACATCATAGAAATAAGTCATCATGAAGGGTAACGTGAAGTCAAAACCTTTATTCTTATCTACACGGCTTATATAACCATATATCGATGCCATCTGGATGAGAAACAAACATTGATGTTATACTTAAATGCCATATTGATAAATATTTATTAGATGTATTAATTGTTCTAAAGTATGGCACCAATTGAAAAGCTACGCGCTCTTCCTCCGTTTTTGGATGTTTGACAATTAAACCCTTAAGTATAGATTCGATTTCACGTCGAAAACAAAGCATTGAACAGCCCTTCATCAGTGCATTCAGCGTAAATCCCCAAAACAAAATAAACTCAGTTACTTCTAGTAAGGTCTCCAAATCTTCATACACGACGTAGAGCAACATGCTTATTAAACTGAAAATCGAAAAAACGATAAATAATCCCAGTAATGTTATTTGTAGTTTGCTTCTCGGTTCATCCGGTGTCCATTTGAAAAAGTTTTACACCCAAAATTTTATTTGAAATAATGTATATGCACAAAGTCCGGTACAGTTGGCGCGAATTCACTGCTTTTGAATAACGGAGTCATTGAGATTAAAACTTATAGACACTTTAAGAAGAATTGTTGAAAGTACGGTTGTAATGGCTTTTTATTCATGTAGGAAAAAAGCAATGCAGCAAAAGCGCCGTTTGAAGTAACTGTGGGATCCAAAGGCAAGTATTATTTATGTTAGTTCCTTCAGCTGCCTTTTGCAACAAACCTTAATTGATTTGTAGCTATACTGGCTATACATTCGTTAAATATTATAACAATGTGTTTTTTATTACCAATTTGACAGTTAAATTTTAAGCTATTGAAGTTATTTTCGGAGGAAAACTTCGCTTAATATTTTTTTGGCTTAAAGAACACTTTGTCGACCTAAGATCACTCAACTATTTAGTAGAGTAATAAAAACAGAGTTTCTTCTTTGGCCACTCCGCCATTAAGTCGGAGCGTTTGAGTCAGTTGGCTGCAGCATATTCTTCTCGAAACTGCATTTTTCAAGTCGCGCAACGATGGTACTCGGAAATTATTGCACGAATCTTTTTCGTAAATAAAATCAATCCTCACGTATATTACATGTATTATGAGATCAATCTCTTTTATTTAAACTCAATTGCATTCTCAATTTGTTTGTCCTCCTTTTCCTTCTGGAAGTTGTCCGCCTATTCTTAGTATTTCTATCTGGAAACTAATCCCCGTTAAATTATGCTCTAAAAGTATAGTACTTCACCATAGATTTTTCTAGTTCCCCCATCCCTTTTGTCTACACCTCTGCAAGTAATTTTGAATGTAATTAAATTTACTGTTTTCATAAAAAGTAATGAGTTTAACCGAAGGGCATTTCGAGATACATGGAAACCGTATCAGCTGTTTCTTTGCAAAATTATTTCAGAACAGCGAGACAAATTAAATCATTATATTATTATTGTGAGACGGTAAAATTTATATAATATAATTTATAAATGCTATAGTTTTAATATAATCTGCATTATCGTAAATTAAATCAAAGATAACGGTATCGATTAGTATGTAAAGGAAACACGAAAAGATTGTTATCGAAGCTAGATTAATTAATTATTTCTTTACCCGAATAAGAATACTGTAAGAAGTGTTCTTCGATTCAAAATGCCTTCATTGAGAATTTGGGGTTGTTCAAATTATTAGTTATAAGTAGTTCAAATTTAGAAGCCAAAGATACGAAGTTCTCATAAGAATTTTGAGTTCCAGAGTGTAATTGGAACTTATCCATATGAAAGATTGATCACTATTCGTTGATTTTTCTAACTTTATGCAATGAATCAAATAATATTTGACCTCTCCTAGTAAAAAGAATTTATATCATCTCTTTATCATTATATCACACAGTGCGAAAATTGATATTAACCACGCCATCGCCCATACAAAGATAATGTTTAAAATTACTAAAGTTCGATAACTGTCAACACTAAAACGTCAGAAGCATTCGATTTTATCGAAAGAAGAGTGCATTCAAATGTATTTATTAATTTATTATTTATTTATTCATCAGTCACCAGTGAAATTATCTGAATAAAACATTAGAGGAATAGTGTGAAAATTATTGAATTGGACCTTAAGTTTTAAAAGCACCGAGATATCGAATATGAGAATCTCAGTGCTGGCTGACTGCTTTTATACCAAAAATATTCGTTATATAAACGATTAAATCGTTATGGTTAGTTAGAAAAAGAGGCGCAGGAACGCCAAACTACAGTCGGCCGTGCTTAGGCCCTTATGCTTCCGGTGGTACCAAATTAAGCTTTTATCAGCAACTCAATGGATTGGTAAAAAGCTGTTTTTCCATCCCAGCTGCCCCATGTGTCTTAACTTGGAGCATTGGAGCGTTGGAAGATATTCCTTCTCTGCCGTCAGAAAGGCTGGACATTCGCAAAGATAATGTTCCAGTGTCTCATCATCTTTCACGCATGCTCTGAATTTCCATTTCCAGCTATAAATACCAACTTGTCATCAACAATGAATTAAGGAATACTCATAAGCCTCAGATGACCATTTCGGGTCCCTTTATTTACAGATATTTTGAAGTTCTTTGAAAGTGCCGGTGGAATATAATTGAGCTCAAGCGTAACGTTTGACAACTGATAACTACTCTAACACTTTTCAAGAGCAAATAAATATCAAAAGCTCTAAAGACGAATTCAGTACATAAACCTAAGGTATTAATACTATTTCATAATTATTTCAATATGTTCTCTATACCTTACAACTGAAAGAAACATGAGATATTTTTTGTGAAATAAGTATTTTTAATATAATAAATCTCTGCGATTATCAATAATAAATCCGTTAATCTTCGATATATTTAACTATCCTCTTCCTCTATGCTTGTCCGCAAAAGTGTAAAAAACTGGTAAGAAGTGGTACAGAGCTGTTAAAATATAGTATAAGTAAATAAATTGGCTTATTTCAGTGTATAATAGTACAAGTATGTCTTACCGACTTAAAACTATCCATTGAGATCTCAAAGAATTTAAAAGCCGTCAAGTGGGCATAACGCTGAGCACGTGCTATGGGCAACACCAGCATGCGCATATACTTGTAATTCGCATCGTACCAGGGATGATTGTAGAACGCATCACTTATGCCAGTGCTCTTTGGTTTCAATGAAATGTTTTATATTTTAAATATAAATTTCAAAGCTACAATTTTTACTTTTTTTTTCAAATTACCAAATCTTTCAGATTATTGCCGAAATAGGAGACGAGTAGACCTGCGCTATAGTTGAAACAAGAAATCCGATAAATTTAATAACGCTCACACATCGGAGCCCAAACTATTTGAAGACCAATGAGGCATATTCCAAACATGAGCCCACATAGTTGAGAAGTGTGGCCAAGCTGAAAGTGCTATCGATTCGCTCAGCATAACTGAAAGAATATAAACGTATTAAGTACTAACTTATCAAGAACTCCCTTTGGAAAACTTTAGACTAGAGTTCTTCAATTTTTTCAAATTTTTTTGCAGGGTCCCAGCTGAAGCTGCGAATTGATTTAGATACATCTATAGGTTCGTCGGCCCGTGATAAAATTTAAAGCGCTTTTAAAGACGAAAAAATCGCTTTGATGTACTTTAAGATACTTCCGTAACAGTCGAAAATATGTGCGAAATGTTAAGAGGGTATCTTGAATATATTTTTTTTCACGATTATCTTTGAAAACTTACTCCAATATCTCATTGTGATATTTCAGTAATGGGCCCAGCACTTTTATATCAGCATCCGTACCAGTTGGTTGAAAACTTTCTATTTTATAGATTAAATATCCGAAATGCATATTAGCCAGTTGTACCATGGAGATGAGCAACAAATCGCCACTCAAAAATAGCAGTGACATATAAAATCCGCCACAGCATTGTAAGAAATATGAAACGGCATAAGCAAACGGTTGATTTACATCGTAGTAATAGCCCATCATGAAGGGTAACGTGTAGTCATAAACTTCATTTTTATCGTCGCGCCATATATAACGAAGTAACGATGACACCATTGGATGAAGAAGAAACATTGATGTTATACTTAAATGCCACATGGATAGATATTTGTTGGATGCAGTTATTGTTCTGAAGTATGGCACTAATTGAAAAGCCACGCGCTCTTCCTCCGTTTTTGGATGTTTGGCAATTAAACCCTTAAGTATAGATTCGATTTCACGTCGAAAACAGACCATTGTACCGCCCTTCATCATTGCATTCAGCCAAATCCCAAAACAAAATAAACTCAGTTATATCTAGTGAAGTCTCCAACTCTTCATAGATAACGAAAAGCATCATGCTTAGAAAATTGTATGAAACAAAAACGCAAAATATGCCCAGTAATGGTCTTTGCAGTTTGCTTCGCGGTTCATCTGGTGTCCATTTGAAAAGTTTTGCGCCCATAAATTTTATTAGTGATAATGGTATATTTACAAAATCCGGTACCGTTGGTGCGGGTTCACTGCTTTTGAAAGACGGCGTCATCGTAAGTACAACTAACTGAAACTTTTACGCAGAACTGCTGAAAGGATATGTCGGTATTGGCTTTTATATCATAGTTGAGTCAAATATGAAGCAAAGGGCGTCAGTTTAAGTGGGTGCGATCTATAAAACTAGATCGCAAGACTTTGAAGTCAATGGAATTATCCAGCCAATATACGACTTTCATGACAAGCACTCTTAACTTGGCTACAAGTTTCTATGCTAAGTCAATAATATTGAACACAACTCCAGATAGACAATATAGTTACAGATAAATAACATCTAGCATGAGCAATGAAATATTTAAGTTTTAAAGGCGTCTCTTTAACAATCATCAACGACATGATTTATAAAAATGTGGAACAGCGTACCTTTGAAAAGTACTAACAATCATATTTTTTTAGGAGTAATTGAAGTTGAACTAATTTTACACTTGCGGTAGGCACTTTCTAGCCTCCCCTAAACCTCGTTGTCTACACCTCAGCAAAATATGTTAATCCTGAAGCTAATTAAATTTACCGTTTTCATAAAAAATATTAAAAATATCAGAAGTGCATTTTGAGGTGCATGGAAACCGTATCAGCTGTTTGTTTGCGAATAATTATCTGAGAACAGTGAGACCAATTAAATCATTGTCTTATTATTGTGGTAAGGTGAAGCAAGTTATATACGATCGGCAACGCAGAATTTAAGTTTTATATATTATATGCTATAAAATTGAACGATTTGTAGTTACAAAGAGAAAGCATACTGGATATCTCTTTCTATATTCTTACCACGGATGATGAAACATTTTTCCCAGATATCCTAATTGATACCCGATTTATTCACGCAAGGTCAAATGAAACGATGGGCATTACTTGTGAAATACTTTGTTAGTTCACCTGTTTCAAATCATGATATGAAACTATCATATATATTGCCCCTCAAATTGTAATTTTAGCATGCGCCGTATTGAAGATAAACCAACATTCATTTATTGACACCTAACACCACGCTAAGCGGTAAAATCGTTAGAAAAGTTATTAAAAACAAGAGAAAACGTTATAATATATATATAACGCTATAATACCCTTCGGTGCATTTCTTT